AGCACAAGTACCGAATGCCGAAATCAAGAGCAGCGCAAACAAAAATATGCTGAGCATCTATAGAGGCAGAGCAAGAGAAGAAGAAGCATTGTTTCCTATTGCTGCTTCCACCAAGAACTCAATCAGAGGCCGCAAATTAAAAGTGAATGCTTGAGAAGCCAACTGAAATCTTCAAAGAAACTTCTTCAAACTCCAAATTGCAACAAGCAAATAAATTAATTCATTTTATTCTACGCAAAGCTGAGCCAATAACAAAAACAGATTTTAAGCTAACTAAATTTGATATGAAAATTTAAGCATTTATATATTTAAAATAAAGCCTATTAAATTAATAAATACTTTATTTATAAATTTTAAATGATAATGATTTAAAATAAATAATAAAATTTATATTTATTTTTAAGCTCATGAAGTGGCATAGAAAAGTTTACTTCCTAGAACAGCAAAGACAAGTTGCTAGGAGACACACTCTAATATAACTTTAGAACTATTACAGGGTAACTCAGCGTCGTATCTATTAGCTGTTAAGGCGAAACTATTCTCTGCCCAGTTTTCCAGTTGCTTACGATGTTTACAATAAGGCACGTCCCTCAAGTCAATTGCAATGCTTTTTAGCTGCTCTCTCTCTCTCCCTCCTCTCTGTCCCGCTCAATTGCTAATAGTCCCCTCGTTCGCTTCTAATTGCGCTTATTATGGCGCAGACTTATCTCAAATGTCGTACGAAATTATATCGTAATTTCAGAGCAATTTCATGTCAACCATTTGGCCTTAGCCTAGTCTTCTCTATCCTTTTCCATTTCCATTTCCCTTTTTTCTACTTTTTATTTTGTTGTCAATCGGCAATTGAAAACTGTAGCTGGCCACAACACACACACACACAGCAGTTGTTGTTGTGTGTGGGCATGCTCATTGCATACTTTCGTGCTTGCCCTGAGTGTGTGTGTGTGTGTGTGGCTGTCACTGAGAAACTCATTTGATCCGAACATTGTCCATCTTTCATCCTCTGCACAATTATCAGTGGTCGCCACTGACTCGCGGACGCAGCACAGTGCAAACGTGCGCCCATCCAGGGTCGATTCAACGTTCACTTCAAACGGGACTCAACTCTAATTTCTACTACTGTGCGAACTGTGTATGTGCTTGGACGAGTGTTTTAATAACTGCAAATGTATTCCAATATTCAAATCTGACTTTGTTCTCTGTTGTCTGACCTCAAGACTTGTTTTAAGTAATCAATAAGAAAACACATGACATGACAACATAGATATAAAAGCTTGGGAATGAAATGAAACTCTTTTTGAGCAGTCATCAAGTTACTTCATGTCTCCAAGCTGAACTCAGATGTGTGAGCTACAGCGATCTATGTTGAGCTTCCTTTTCCAAAGTTCTTATATAATAAGTTTTGTCTGGTCACCTGGAACCAAGTGCTTTTTCGTATGTTCCTCACTCAATCAATACCATATTTAGGCCTGAGCTTTGAACTGCCTCCAGCCCACTTCTTTAGCGATCAATAGAATCGTCTACAGGTTTCAGCTTAGAAAAGTATTTGCTTCAGCCGCAAATATAATTGCCATCAGGAGGCACCTGGCTGCACCGCATTGCATTAGATCTAACCTCTCGAGCTGCCAAACCAAATTAAAGCAAACTTGAAAGAAAGCGGCAAAATGAGTGAACTGGAAATGCAAATATCCAGCGCGAAGCGAAAACAAAGAAAATAAATAACCCAAAGCCTCGTGGACATTTGTTGGCATTCTTTGAATTTATTTTTTCTGTTTTCTTTTTTGTTGTTTTTTTTTTTTTTTTTTCTTTTTGGTTATTTCACGAGGCCACGCGGCGCCCCCCTTGTGGCAGACCAAGAACGCATTTCACTTTGTTTCTTTTCTTCCTTTTTAATCACTTGACCTTTTGCACGTCGTGTGCTTTTAATTTATTATTGTGTCCCAACCGCACTCACAAGTTTTCCTTTATTTTTCTCGATTTGTTTTGTATTTTTTTTGGTTTTCTTGGGGGCAATGGAAAGAAAAATATAAATCTTGAAATTGACTTCTTTTCGGTGGGCGACCGCGAGTTTTGCTTTAGTTGTTTTAGTTGTTGTTGTTGTTACCTTTTTACAAACTGTCGCCTTTTTGAGTTGTCGCTGACAGCGTGAAAATCAAGATAAATGTGTTTGCTCCTCTTTACGCTTGTATTTCAATGTGTTTGCACTTGATATTGTGGTTGCTGTTTGTTATTGTTGCTGCTGCTGCTGCTGCTGCTGCACAGCTGTTGTCGAAATTTCATTTTTATTTAAAAATTTATTTCATTTTGCAATCGAATTGTGCCACAGGCAGAGCCAACAGTAGCTGGAAGCAACTAATTCCGTTCTATTTAAAGCAATTTAAATCATCTCGATTGAGCTACATATGCTTAGAGCCAAGTCAAGCCAAGAGGCGTGGCAGACACCTTAAATTACTTATCAGCTTGAGCCTATCAGCTGATCAGCGTTTATCTATCAATCTGATTTGTAGATACGTATCGTAGTCCTCAGGACACTCCTATAGACTTCTATTGACTCCATGCGCAGCTTACAATAAGTGAGCCGCTTCCATTCTATGCCTTCGATAAACAATAGCAAACTTCAGTTATTTGGGCATGGAATTTAGAAATGTATGAATATAAATATATAAATATATAAATAAATAAATATATAAATATATAAATATATAAATATATAAATATATAAATATATAAAGATATAAAGATATAAAGATATAAAGATATAAAGATATAAAGATATAAAGATATAAAGATATAAAGATATAAAGATATAAAGATATAAAGATATAAAGATATAAAGATATAAATATATAGTTACTATAAACTAAGTAGTATTAGGCCTTGAGGGAAGAATGAACTAAAGCAGAGCTTCAAAAGGTTGAACCAATGACAACGGCAAATGGTAATCTTCTACTCTTGTGAAGGGCATGCCAGGAACGAGGCTTGAGAGCGAGAGAAGCGCTTCAATCGCGTTGGCTTCTTATAAGAGGAGCTACGCAGAGACAAGAGCGTCAGTTGGCATATGGAAATAGAGAAGACAGCACAAAATTGTGCCAAAGAGAGTAAAGTCGTGTCTGTAGTGCCCACTGAGCATTCATCAGAATCACGATCATTCCCAACATATATAGACATGTTGGTTATATATTTGTTGTCATATTTCTTCACATTGAAATCCTCGAAGCAGTTGCCAATCCCTTCTTATGCTAACAATAAATATAAATAGTTATATGATGAGGCTATGCCAATGCTTAATCGAAGTGGTCTGCTTAGAGTGTTTCTTGATTTTTCGCTTAATTCAAAGAGTTTATTATATGAGAGAAAGCGGAACGAATATAAATCTCTCACAAGTCTCAATATATTGGGCCAACTGCCGCTCTCATATTAGACCAACAATGCCTGATAGTTATATGTTCCTTGCTCAACTCTGGTCTGCGCACACGAAATCTGTTTAATCGCAACACTAATCGCATACAAAGCCACAAAATGTATCACGTGCTTGACTCGATGTGTACTTAGAGTCAGCTACAAGTCTGACAAACTGACCAGCCCAACTGTGCTTAAGCGTTTAGATTCATGAGCAGACAAGCTCTGGCAGTGACTCGAGTGAATGAAGAAACTATTCAAATATCAAACATCAATTGAGATGAATGGAAATAGAACTGAGGCCAGCTCCTATGAGAACTTACATATTTGAGTAGTTTTACTTGATGGAACTTTGTTATAATGTATAATGCATACAGGGTATCTGGATGTCGTGCATTGCTGATATCAGTTGACAGCTGGCAGAGTGAATTTCATGAATAAATCTAGTGACTGAGTGCTGACTGCTCTGCACTTTTCTGCTCTGTTTGGCTTCACAGACACGGCTTAAAAGCTTAGCGTATAAAACTCAAATTATGCGCTGCGCGCTGTCGTGCTCGTGGCTATGTGTGTGCGTGCGTGTGTGTGGGTAGTTGTGTTTACGAGTGAGTGACTTGATGGTGTCTGCGACTCCTGTTGCTTAGAGCAATTAAACGATAAGCGTAATCTACGGCGTCAATTTGCCAATTGTCGCACTCACAAATGCGTGAAGGCGTCAGCGCGGCATTTCAATTAGCCACCAATTCCCAGGAACACTCAGCAGCAACAACAGCAACAACAACATCGATTCCGCCAGTTGATATGTATATACATAGATATGTATATCCTTACACTAAGCCCATACCCAGCTGAGGCTTTTGCATCACTCGCGTGAGTGCGTGTGTGTGTGGCCTTTGCGCATATTTCATGAACTTGAGAACGAGAACAAACACAGCGCACAAATGCCGTGAGTGTTCAAGGCGATGGTGCAATGCTGGGCTGGGGCTGGGACTGGCGCTGACTCTGGGGTTATGTGGGGCGCTGAGTGCGGCCAATTAGCACAAAGGCATTTGACTAAGTACACAAAAGTGTTTCCGTTTAGGCAGCACGTCAAGTGACAATTAGCTAGGCCGCAGTCAGCCCCTGATTCGGTTTACATTTTCGAGAGGCCTCGAGGCCGTCGCCGCATCGCGACTTCGTATGCACATAAATAGCTCGCTCTGCACTCTCTCTCTCTCTCTCTCTCTCTCTCTCTCTCCCTTTCTCCCTCTCTTTTTCATGCACAAATATATACATTTTATAGATTGCTAATCGGCGCAGAGCCAAAACAAGTTATGAGCACTAAGAAAAAAGTTCTCTGAGGAGCTCGACTTAGAGACAGCTGAATTGATTTACATTTAGCTGAAGAGCTATCATATCATGTGAAGAGCACATGGATTTTCTATTTTCTATTGCTCAACATTTCCCAATTCTACAAGAGAAACAACTAATCTAAGGGGGTCTTGCTCTACTCAATGGCTGTCAATGACAGTTTCGATGCATGTGGAAAGTTAACTAAGTTGAGCCGTTTGATACATCGTTTTGATGGGATTCCCGTTTCTGTTTCATTTTACTTTGCAGCGTTCTATCGCGTAAGCTAAAGCCACATCTGGTCGCCGACACCGTCAAGCAGTACATAAGTCGGGCGCAACGAACAACAAAGAAGGGTTCTCAAGAGCAACAAAATAACATGGAGTTTTTACGTGGTGTCTATGCGTTTATGCAAGTGAGTAGATCATCGGTGAGTGTCAACTGTTTCCACTTTAACAAATGTACTAATCCATATCAACTTGCTCTATTTTTATTCCGGCAAAAACATTTTGGTTCTTGTTTACCTACTTTTCTTTTCTTTGTTACCAAACATAAAAACAAATGTCGATTCGATACCATTCGAGAAAAATCCAAAAACTCAAAAAACAAAACCAAAAAAATATACGAAAAAAAAAAATAAATAAATATGTAACTTCTATCTACTACTACCTTACTTATTACTACTTCTACTACTACCTTTGTAAACATAACAAAAAAAAAAACAAAAACCGAAAATGAAAACAAACAAAAAATACAATACAATTTATGAAATACGAAAAAAAACAAAACCAAAATATAATATATAAAAACATAAATATTGGTTACGTCAATGTACATAACATATGTTACACAATATGACAACTTCATGTCTCTTGTCTGCCATCCATATAATTGTTAACTTGAGCAAAAGACAAATCAAACTAAACAAAACCATCAAATAACATCAAATCAAAAATACATATATACATATATACATCTATTTATATATATATATATACATGTGTGAATATATAACGACAACTGAAAGCGAAAATCATCCGACTCTGAGCCAGCGTCAGCATCGAGCCAAAAGACAACGACGGCAAGCCGAGCTTCCACGCACAGCAGTCGAATCGATAAGCGATAACAGAGCAATATTGTTAGGCAATCAATACATATACATATGCCCCCAACTGAAATAGGTATAATCCATGTAAACCAATAACGAAATAACACAATTAAAAAACAGCTAAAAAGCAAACAAATCAATCACAAGGCGAGCGAGCGACCATCAGACGGAAGCTAAGCTACAATTTGCATGTCTCTCATACCAAGTTACCATGACGAACTGCCCGTCCACCGGGCAGACCCATTATCGACTCTCATATCAGCATCATACGTGGTCTGGTAGGGCTCCTCTTATCATTCAAAACATTGCCAACCGAAATGTGATTCTAACTAGCGAGCGAGTGAGCGTGCGTCTATCGAGCATTAGAAGGCGACATTTTTTAAGTTTCAAATAATCCAAATAAGCAAATCAAAAATTAATCAAATATTTGAACAATCAACAAAGAGAAAAATATATATATATGTATCTGCACACACACATATATATATATATAAAACACAAAAGAATTTAAAACGACAAAATGCAACAAAAGACAGACATAAAAAATATATAAAAAAAAAAAAAAACAAAACCAAAAATGAAAAGAAAGAACAACAACAAAAACAATCGCAAAGGACGCGTAAGGCCCGACAGCGGGCTGACCATTTTCATAGAGCAACCACTTGCCCATTGCCCACTTACCCATTTGCCCATTGTCCATTTGCCCATTGTCCATTGTCCATTGTCCATAACCATAGTCCATTTAATAACCATTGTCCATTTGCCATTCCATTCAGATTCAGATTCAGATTCAGACTCAGGTCCATATTTCTCTCTCTATATATATATATCTCTCTCTCTTGCTCTCTCTCTCCTCTCTCTCTCTCTCTGTCTGTTTATATAAGTGTCTCTTATGTAATACATAAACATATACAAACATACGTACAGTCATCTGTATGTCCTTATGCCTAATACAACAACAAATACGAATAGACAACAAATCATTCGTCTAGATTTGGTTCTTCTCTTAATAGTTTTTGGTTTTTCGTTTTTCTTTGCTTCTCATTATTGTAATTGGCTGTATTTTGATTGACAATGCTTAGCGGCCCCCGATCCGTGTATATTTTCATATGTTTCCCCAACTTGCCAAATGAAAAAACGAAATTTGTTTTTTTGTAGCTTACGATTTAGTCGATGTGTTTAATTTTTAATTTGTTGTCTGTGTCTACATAAATATTTTTGTATGTATTGTTGTCTATGTGTGTGCGTGTGTGCGTGAGTGTGTCTATGTTTGTATTGTGCCGTATTGTTAGGCTTACTTTAATTTATATCGATGTTACACGCAAGCGAATGCGCATATTACGTATACGCAGAGTTGGGCACAGATAATTTAGTCCCGTTACCGCATTGAATTCTAAAACTACTTTGTATTATTTCTCAAAAACCAACAACTACAACAACAACAACAAAACCAAAACAAACAAAAAACGACGATGATAATAAAAATGACATGAAGATCGACTACAGCAACAGCAGCGGCGGCTATGAGACGACCCTCAGCCTGGTCAACGACACGAATGAGGCAACCACGACAGCGATGCGCGATGCTGAGCAAGCGACAAGCTTAAAGTCAGCAGCAGCCACCAGAGAGCCGCTAGCCGGAGTAGCAAAAGCTGACGAAGAAGCAGACGGCGCCGCTGCAAGTTCAAGACTTAGGCTGGCCATCAAGCCCAGATCTGCACCAAAGCGGAGCCAGCGCCAGAGTCAGAGTCAGAATGAGACACTGTTGCCACAGAATCTAGTGATGCTGAAGACAGCCGTAGCCACAAGGACAACGACAGACGACAACGACAACGACAGTTGAGAGTGCGGCGAAATGTGGATGTGGCAAGTGTTGCCAAGAGCCACACGAACAGCAGCGGAAGCAACAACCGACAAATTGCTAAGAAACAATGATCAAACGAAAAAGATAATGCTAACCATGTGATAACTCGTATGTATGTGTGTATATAGGCCATATACTTATGTATAACAATTATAAACTAATGCGTGACGTGACGTGACGCGACAGCAACAAAAATATTCGAAAACAGGGCAACAACACGGTGGCCTTAGCTTGTGCAACTGAATCGAACTTGTAAATCAAAAATCGAAAGACGATTACCGATAAGCGATATATCGATAACAATAATCAAAGCAACATAATCAAAGCGTGTCATCAACAATAAACGAAAGCATATATAACATTCCAAATATATATATATCTATATATATATATATTTCGACAACAGCCAGCAGCAATTCAAAAGTCTTCATCGAGCAGTTCAACAACAGTAACAGTAACAGAACACTAACGTTAACAGTTACAGCAGCAATTAACATTAACTGTAACTGTAAACTGCCATTAAGATACGCTCAGGCTACGACTGATCTGATTTGCGTGCGTGCGTCGTGCGTGTGTGTGCGTGCCACGCCCACCACCGGCCACCGCGTGCACTCAGAGGGTTGGTTGGTGCCCGCGGTGCCATCCCCCCAAACGCAAAGTGATAGAAAATGGTAATTACAAACAAAACAATTCTAGTCATTAACTATCCAAAAAAAAAAAAACCAAAACCAAAAAAGAAACAGAAAACAGAAAAGAAACTCCAAAAGAAAGTCCTCAAGCTCTACTCTACTGTACCCAGCTATCCAAAATTCATCACTGTCTCTGTTTCCCCCATCTCTCTCTCTCTCTATCTCTCCCCACTTTTTCTATCTGTTAATCACACTCTTCAAAAGCGTTTCCTTTCATATTACCCATTGCATATATTGTAGTTCAGATAATTATTAGATGCAAATTTTTTCCAAAGATTTATCGTTTGTTCATATTATGCTTTAGCTATCGATTAGCCGCACCGGCGCCATCTAGCGGCTAATGTTTGTGTTACATTTACGCATTGAGTTTTTCAGTTTCATTTGGCTTTGTCGCTTTTCTCTTTCTCTCTCTCTCTCTCTCTCATTTAGTTTCTTGCGTTTTGAGTCGGAAAACATGAGCGCGATCAACCCAAACAAAGAAATGACAAAAAAAAAGAGAAAAAAACAGTAAACATAACGAAAACAATTTAGGGGATGCAAATTGATTGCAATTGAAGCGTAATCGATAATCGATATTTTATCAAATGCAACGTTTTACGTGAGAATTCAACGGTAACTGATTGCTCGCCTGCCACAATTCAAAAAAAAAAGAAATCATATGCTGCTGTCTACGAAAACTAAATAAATAAATAAAAACAAATTGAGAAAACAACAACAGAAATTAATAACAAATAAAACATAAACTTAAATTTGATAAATAATATAAAAAAATATATGAAAATAATCAAATTTAATACAATCTAATTATAAGTCATGAGAGCAAGCCAAACAAGTTTAAGTCAACCTTTCAACCTTTCTCTCTCTCTCTCTCTCTCTCTTATGATGATATGTAACTGTATTACATATGCGATATACACACCCATACCCACACACACACACACAGACAGACACAGTCAAAGAGCTATGTAAAAGTATAGTAAAGTGTTGCGAATGCTTTGTCATGAATGATAATAACTGAACAATCAGATGATATAATGAGAATTAATACCAATATATATTATATGACCGATGGCCGCAAGCCATCTCAGCGGAATTTCTTTTCATTTAATTTCTGTTACACATATATATAAATATATACTATAATTTTCCACATATATCAATAACGATGACTATTTATGCGTATCAACTAAGTGAAAAAGTACAGCTTACAATTTACCTTATAACAATATTGAAAGCAAAACGAAACAAAAATAACTGCGTTAAGTAGTTCCTGCAAGTCCAAGCATCGATTCATCAACAGCATTTTAGCCCCTAAATAGCTCTATTGCCGCGTATATGTTGTTCTGTTTAAATAATTTGCCAAAAAAAAGACCGAAAAAACACAAATCGAACTCTGTCGCAACTTTGAGACAAGAAACACATGAAAGCAACTTGAAATTTAGCAAACTCTAAACGGGAACATTGCCCCCTCTCTCTCCGTCTGTCTCTCTCTCTCTCTCTCTATCTCTATCTATGTATCTATCTATCGCTCTGTACCCATTTTATTTCCTGCAAGCCATAAAATGTTTTATGATTTTAATATTATTCATAGTCTTATTCGAAGTTCGTTTTATGATTTCGATTCTGATGGGTTTCAACTTCAAAAAAAAAAAAAAAGCTTCACACTGATCCACCCTTCCTACGCCAAAGCTCCACATAAACCCACTAGCACACAGCCAGCAGTTCGTTGAGAGGACTTGAAGTGCAGAACTAGTTGGATAAGTCCAGAA